GACAGGATTTACATATATTTGGGAAGGCAAGGACTGATTAGGGATAGTCAACATGGCTTTGTGCATGGGAAATCATGTCTCACTAACTTGATTGAGTTTTTCGAAGAAATAACAAAGAGGATTGATGAGGGCAAAGGCATTGGACGTTGTCTGTATGGATGCCTTAACAGTAAGGCATTTGACAAGGTTCAGGTTCCTCATGGTAGACTGGTTAGCAAGTTTACATCACATGGATCTAACCTTGGGAGATCGAGCCATTTGGATACAGAACCAGCTCTAAGGTAGAAGACAGAAGGTAGTGGTGGATGGTTACTTCTCAGACTGGAGGCCTGTGACTAGCGGTGTGTCACAAGGATCAGTTCTGGGTCTACTGCTTTTCATCATTTATATAAATGATTTAGATGTGAACATAGGAGGTATGGTTAGTAAGTTTGAAGATAACATCAAAATTGAAGGTGTAGTGGACAGCGAAAAAGTTACCTCAGAGTACAACGAGACCTTGATCAGATGGGCCAATGGGCTGAGGAATGGCAGATGGAGTTAAAGTTAGATAAATTTGAGGTGGTGCATTTTGGTAAGACAAATCAGGGTATGACTTATACACTTAATGGGAAGGTCCTAGTGAGTGTTGCTGAACAAAAAGATCTTGGAAAGCAGGTTCAATACAATGTGGAGCTGGAAGAACACAGCAGGTCAGGCAGCATCAGAGGAGCAAGAGAGTCAATGTTTCAGGTTGGGACCTTTCACCAGGACGTGTGGCTAAAGGGATCAAGGAGTATGGAAAGAAAGCTTGAATGGGATACTGAGTTTGTATAATCAGCCATGATCATATTGAAAGGTGGTGCAGGCTTGTAAGGGCTGAATGGCCTATTCTATATTTATATTCCCTTCATAATTTTATATGTTTCTATGAGATCCCCCTCATTCTTCTAATTTCCATTGTATATAGTCCTAGTCTACTCAATCTCTCCTCATATGTCAATTCTGTCAAGTCCAGAAGCAACCTAGTGCACCTCCTCTGCACCCCATCCAGTGCCAGTACATCCTTTCTCAAGTAAGGAGACCAAAATTGTACACAGTACTTCAGGTGTGGCCTCACCAGCACCCTATATAGCTGCAGCATAATCTCCTTGTTGTTAAGCTCCATCCCTCGAGCAATGAAGGACAATATTCCATTTACCTTTTTAATTATCTGCTGCACCTGCAAATCAACATTTTGTGATTCATGCATAAGGACATCCAGGTCCCTCTGCACCACAGAATGCTGTAACTTTTCACTAATTAAATAACAGCCCATTTTACTGTAATGCCTACCAGGATGGATGACCTCATATTTACTGATATTGTATTCCATCTGCCAAACTCTTGCCCACTGTTTTAACCTAACCATTTCACTCTGCAGACTTTCAGTGTCCTCGTCACACTTTACCACTCATCTAAGTGCCATCTGCGAACTTTGATACACAACACTTGGTCCCCAACTCCAAATCATCTATGTAAATTATAAACAACTGCAGTCCCAGCACTGTTCCCTGAGGCACACCACTAGTCACTGATTGCCAACCAGAAAAACACACATTTATCCCCATCTTTGCTTTCTGTTAGTTAACTAATCTTCCATCCATGCTAATACATTACTTGTAATGCCATGTACCTTTATATTATGCAGCAGCCTTTTATGTGGCATCTTGTTGAATGCCTTCTGGAAATTCAGATACAGCACATCCACTGGTTTGCTGTAAGTTAGTTAAACATGACCTGCCTTTCAAACCATGGTCTCTTCATTCACAGCTGGAGTTTCCACATTCTGTCAAGTTTGTCAAGAACACACACCTAACCAGTCTTGCCCACAGCAATCATCCTTCCTTCACCTCTTCAACATCTGACAGAAATGTAGCTCCCCTCATTCCTCCACCCCAAGACTGATTACGCCCCAACAGTGATCACCTCTCCCTCAACTTGCCTTCTCACCCCTCAGCAATAGTGTTCTTCTTCCTCCACAATCCAGAAAATGCTCAAATGCTCTCTGCCCTTTCTCTCCCATCTCTGTTGCGACAATGCCCACTCTCCTGAATCGGTCAGACTGTAGCTGGGGATTTGGGCAAGTGAATCAGGAGAACACGTGCAGGACAGGCTGGGGGTGGGGGCAGGGGTGGGTCGGGAGTCGGAATGAGCACTGTTCATGTCCTGAAGGGAGGGTGCGCACTGACCAAGAGGCAAGGAGTGATGAATATTGGCATGTTGGGCTGAGCAGTGGTGTGTGTGCTGAAGTGCTTTGAATCTGCAGCTGATTTACCAAGAGTTCCTCTGTTCAGCAAGCTTTAGATTAGCTCAGTGGTTAGTCTATGTAAACACTATGTAAATGTATATAAAAATCAGAATAATTATAGGATAAACAGGATATGTTTGCATTGATCTAGCCAATCAAGGAGCAGTCCAAGTCAGACCAGAAATCAGATGCATAAATTCCCTGTGTAAATGCCATCAATGTGCTTACATCAGGCTCTGGGGTGATGCACTTCAGTTAGTTAAGACAGATGTTCTTGATGCTTTTGAGAAAGATTTTCCATTACTAGCTTATATGTGAAAATTCGGGTATGCAACACCACCAAGCTGCTGGCAGATTGACCCAGTGTTTCACAAGTGATTTTAACAGAATAAAATCTAATTTCATTCATATGGCCACCTCAAAGCAGAACGTGCCTAAACACTGCAGGAAAATGAATGAATGCAGCGGGTGAATCATAGAATGCAAACAGTATGGAAGCAGGCTTTCAGGCTGTTTGAGTCCATACTGGCTCTCTGAAGAACATCCCACCCAGATCCAGACCCACCCCTCTACACTATCCCTGTAACCCTGCTTTTCCCATGGGTAATCCACCTAATCTATACATCCCTGGGCTATTTGGCATGACCATTGCACCCAATCCACACATCTTTGGACTGCGGGAGGAAACCAGAGCACCCAGAGGGAGACATGGGGAGAATGTGCAAACGTTACACAGACTGTCACCTGAGGGTGGAATCAAACCTGGGTCTCTGGTCCTGTAAGGCAACAGTGCTAACCACTGCCACGAAGGAAACAGATCACTAAAGGCCTATGACCAGAATAAACTAAAGCTAAAGCCTGATGAGATTCATGGGTTATTCATGGGAACTTTGATGATAAACCAAAGTGCTGCGCTGAAGGTGCAATGAAGAGATGAATGTGTCTTTGTAATGAGTACGAAGAGGCATGAGTCTTTGTGCTGGGTGTTGAATGGTATGACAGAGGGGATTAAATTTGTTGAGGTGGGGGCCAGTACCTATTGCCATACATGGTAATAGATGGAGAAATGAAGATCTGTACTTTTCCTCACTACTGCTGAGGTCCTTGAAATTCTTCCTGCACTGTATCCAAAACCCAGTTGCAATGCTCTGGAGCGGAGTACTTTGGAATTATCCTCAATGGCTGCTGCTGGCATGCTTTAAAATCTCCCTTCCACTAGCTGGTAAGAGATGATTGTTCTTCATCTTGGTCTATTTGAGATCTCTGTGGAAGTTTCGGAGACCCTTGAGGTTTCACTGGAACATTGTGAGGCTCTTTCATTCTGCAGCATTCAACAAAGTTTCCCATGAAGAAATACAAGAACACTTTATGAGGTCCGTGACCCCCAGCTGACCCAGCTGCAACTGCACTTTATATTCATTAATAGTATGTGTACATCACTGGCTGGGTCCGCATTTTTTGCCTACCGTTAAGTATCCTGAAGAGGGTGATGGTGAGCCTGCTTCTTGAACCACTCCAGTCCATTTAATGCCGGTCACAACATGTTACACAACAATGTCATTAGGGAAGGAGTTCCAAGATTTAGACTGAGTGACATTGAAGGGACAGCAAAATCTTTCTACGTCTGGATGGTGAAAGGTTGGAGAGGAAGTTGCAGCTGGTGGTGTTCCCATCTATCTGCTTTCCATGTCCTTCTAGGTGGTTGTGGGTGTGGTTCTACAAGATGCTATCGAAGGAGTCTTGGTGAATTTCTGCAGTATATCTTGTAGATAGTTTTGAATTCCTAATTCCTGCTTGGAATTAAAATCAGAGTCATATTTCTAAACCTTTTGAGTAGAGCAACAGGAATGTAACCATATCTCAAAAAAAAACACCTGATGTGATTTAAAATCTTCTGTGAGGTAGTAAGAAGACATGCATTTTTTGAGGTGAAGTAAAAGTGTCCCAAGGTTGAGGGCTCACAAAAAGAGTCCACACACCAGAATCCTACAATTTATTGAAGTGAACAAAGACAAGAAAGACGTGACTGATTCAAACAAGATCGGGTTCATAGAGTTGCTGGATTATCAGTTTGGTTTCACTGTACTAAGTGCTTCTGTTCATAGACTGATACATTTTTGGCAGCAAAAATTATTTGCATACTCAACACAAATGATTAAAAATATTAACACATATTTTTCACAGGTCCATAGAAATTAAAATCAAAACGGCAGTTCAAATTAAGTGTAGGACAATAATACATTAAGTCTTCATTTAAAAATGTTAAAAAAAGGTCATAGAATGTGTTCGTTTTAGCTTGATCATATTTCTCCATTTCATGACACAGCATCATATTTTACGAATAGAATCATAGACAGTTGAATGAATTTATCAGTAGCTTGTGGTGAATAGTTCTTAGTTTTTAAAGTATGTGTCTTGTAGAGACAGAAAAAAAACATGAAGTTTTACTAAATTAATGGAAAGAATATTTGAAATAAGCAACAACTTATCACTTACTGTTGAAGTTATAAACAATACATTTGCCAGTCCTTTTTTTTCCCATATAGTGATTGATGATGTCGTATTTCTGCTATTTTCTATTTTATTTTCAACTTAGTGCACATTCAGTTCAGTCTGACGATTTCCAACATTTTCAGGTCTTCGGTTACATTTTCATAATTCTCATGTGTTTTAAACTAAAATGATGGTGAAGAGCAGTAGTACTCATATAATTGCAAATTGCTGTTCGCAGATGCTGCAGGGAAAGGTGATCCCCAAGTATGAGCAATGGCATTCAGCAGAAAAAGGCAGTGGACAAGTAGATCACGATGACATCCAGGTCAGTGGAGACTGCGATGACGAGGATGGTTGCATTGGATCAGGAAACGGAGAAGTGAAAAAATCTTTCAAAACCTCTGAATGTGAGTTTTTGTTAATGTTCAAACTACCATTTTTCCACATTGATACCTTTAAAATGGATGTTTTCTAGAAAACTCAGATAATTTATTCATGATGCAAATGTTGTTTATAAAACCAAAAGTACTTCAGTGGAAAGAAAGTTGTAATATTGAATTTGTCTCCATATAAAAGGAAAGCAAGCAAACAGTATCAACAGTTTTTTTTTTGTTCTTTTATAACAGAGCATCATTATTAAAATGTAGAAAATCAGAAATAACAAATTGTCATTGAAATTAGTTTTGGTCCCCTTTTGTGCAACTAAGAGTTTAAAAATGACTTAATGTACGCTTTTGGATATCTGAAAATGTTACTGTTAAATTAATGTTCACTATTTGTTTGTATGTGCAATTGAAAATGTTTGAAGTATATTTGTGCACTATTTCTCCTAGAAAAATGTTAGAGAAGGTATTATATCAGTCTGCGTTGAGCAAACTTATCCTCTAATGTATCACACTTAATACCACGGCTAAATTCCATCCAGTGATGGTTGTTTTAAAGGGTATTGAGCAAAATATTATCTAGCTCAATTCATGACAGTGAAAGCAGGAAGATAAGATCAACAGAAGTTATGCGCTTACCCCTGGGTAAGGCAAACTATGAATCAAAGATGCAGTTTTTGAGAACTTAAAGCGCTCAAGTATTTGAAGACCTGGTTGAAATCGAATGTAAATTGTTTATTTGGAAGTAACATTACAAAAGACTGAACATCAATTTTATCTGTGTGTGTAATCAGCATTCTATTCGTATAGAGAGACTGTAATTTGTCTGTCATGTCACTTGAGAAGTATGTTGGGCTAATGCCCCGAGTCACAGAAGGATTGATTTTGTACAAGGTTGCATGACGTGAGTTCAAAGTGACTTGTATTGCTTTATACCATTATACAATGAATTTGCATGCAACAGATCATCACGTCTATCACAGTAGAATTCTAAGAGTGCCTGAATGAAGGTACAGGTAAGTCAGAGATATTTTTGATCAGGAATGTTAATTTCCCTAACTAAAAGCACACTGTTCAACCCTAAACCTTCCTTTCGGAAAAGAAAATGTTCTGCAACATTACCATCAAAATGCAGGTACATCTATGTGCTTATACATTTTTACAACAGTGTCAGTATATTATTGACTGATTATTTTTGCTTCCCTGTTACTGCGTATGAAGGTGGAGGGCACATAAAATCCAGTGGATCGCCTTCCTTCTATGCACCTTCTCGCACATTCCAAGCAATCTGGAATTTTATGGGGACAGGTGGAGGAACAACTAGTGAAGCTTGGAAGTGAATGGTACGTGTCCAATCTGCTCTTGTATACCATAAAATGGTAGCCCGGTACCAGACGTTTCCAGGTTTTACATTTCATTTTCCTTCTGGGGCCAGCGAGGATGAGACATTGGATGAACCGGCCAACTTTGACCCCGCTCAACCTCACAACAACCTTCTCTCATTCCCCTTTTTGAGATCCCTGAGCCTGGGTTTACCTGGTCACCTTAGAGTGATGTGACCATTGGTAATCCCAACTGTGGCCAGTGTTCCCAGTGACATTGCAGAGATGACAGAGCTGTGAACCATCTGATTGGCTGGCACCCATTTAAGATGCGACTTTCCTGTCAGGATATGGGTAGAGGTCAAACCTTGAAACAATGGACTTGGTTCACTGCATTAAATTTTACAGGGCACCCATTGGGCTGGTGCATGGGTTCCTCCCACTGGCTTTTTAGTTGGAAAGAGGGGATAGCGGCAAGATCAGTGACAACCATGAGATTCAACCCCATATTTGTACACAAATGTGAAAGAAAGTTGCTGAAACCTTATGAAAACAGTACCTCTTTTGAGTGGAAAATACCCTGGTGACCCCAAAACATACTAAATTTACAAAAAATGTAATTTAAATTCAAGAGCAGCTTCCTCAGATATCATGTAGTGATGAATAATCAGTGAGCATTTCTGCCTAGGTCTGTTTCTAGCACAGGGCTAGTGTATCCATTTCAAAGATATAAATGGTCTTTTTGATAGAAATTTGGAGCCTTCAGGATTGCTCTGAAGATTCCAGGAATTAAAGATGCACAGAAAGTGGACCTGTGGAAAAATTGTGGGAACATTTAAAAAATGACATTTTTTAAACATTTTGTTTAAGCACTTAGGTTATTATTTACAAAAATGTTGGAGATGGGAAAACACACTGTTTGCTGAGCTACAACAGTGAGACATGTGACAAAATCTTCATGAATAAGTCCAGTTAGGGTTGACCACCGTATTTTGGATTCACTATTTGCCTGATAGTAGTAGGAAATGGCAAAAGCATGAAACCCCATACCACCAAAGAGAAAGTTTGATTGTTAAAGCAGCTCATTCTCTTACTCCCCTTCCGATCATTATCTTTACTCTCAACAGACCCACAGTTGCTGCAAGAGAATAAAACTCCGAGGTTTATTCATCAGTCAGTGTTCTGTACATGCAGAAATTTCTCTACCTTGTACTGTATTTTATGACCATTACTTCCGTAAAAGTATTCTCCCCCAACACTGACTGTATATAAGTTATGCATTTTAAGTTTTGCCTAGCGATACAGAAAAATATGTGAAAATATGTGTAAATTACCCAGACAAATTAATAGTACCATTGTTCGTTTTTCTGTTATTTCTATTCCTTTTCATTCCTTTTCTTCTTTTATTTCTTATTTTCATCTTTGACCTATTGTCCAACAACTTTGTTCTTGTAATATTATACAGGAAAGGAGTTAGTGCCGAGTTTTAAAGGGAGTTGACCATGGAAGGAAGCGCATGATTTCATGCTTAGCTGTGTTAAAATCTGTCTGCTCTGGATTTCTGTCAAATTACTCAATCCATCAGCTTTTCTTTAGCATTTTTATGCTCCCAAGTACACTGAATGTGATACCACCATTTTTTGTGTCATTGGCAAACTTTGATATATGGCTTCTTAATGTGTAACCCAAGTCATTTATGAGTATAGTGATGGATTCTTGCATGATACCATTAGTCTTCACAGAAATTGTATGAATGTGACAGAGGAAAATTAATTTCATGAGAAGATGATTGCATGGAAGTACAAGTTAACCAATAACAAAAGAGAAAATAGCCTTAACCAATGAGGAATAAAGAAGTTAACACATTTGATATGCATATTGAACAATGGTGAACAATGAAAAAAAAGTTTAATAGCCCAAATATAATGTAAGAATTACTATACCCAGAAATAATATTCTCCCCTTCCCCTCAAATTTATTTCTGTTCAATTGTTTAGTTATTCAATTCACTACTTTTGGCAGAAATGTCTTGTAAGCAAAAATAGGCAAGTTATAAATTGCAGCCATCCACTATGTTATTGCATTTCCCTCTAATCCTGTAGTCTTCTGTACATCATTGTGTCTTGTGCCCTGAATTGCATTGCAATTGTCTGTATTAATTGCAGAATTGAACGGCACAAAAATATTTGTCAAAGGATATTCCTGGGAATACATCAAGGGAAGTTATTTCAGTGGAACTGGGAAATAAGAACGAGACGATCACCTTATTGGGATTGTACTATAGACCCCCAAATAGTCAGTGGGAAATTGAGAAACAAATTTGTAAGGAGATCTCAGTTATCTGTAAGAATAATAGGGTGGCTATGGTAGGGGATTTTAACTTTCCAAACATAGACTGGGACTACTATAGTGTTGACAGCTTGGATGGAGATGAATTTGTTAAGTGTGTACAAGAAAAGATTCTGATCTAGTGTGTGGCTGTACCAACTAAAGAAGGTGCAAAACTTGACCTACTCTTGGGCAATAAGGCAGGGCAGGTGACTGAGGTGTCAGTGAGGGAGCACTTTGGGGCTAGTGACTATTAGTTCAAAATAGTGATGGAAAAGGAAAGACCAGATCTAAAAGTCAAATTCCTGGATTGGAGGAAGGCCAATTTTTGATGGTATTAGGCAAGAACTTTCAAAAGTTGATTGGGGGCGAATGTTTGCAGGTGAAGGGACAGGTGGAAAATGGGAAGTCTTCAAAAATGAGATAACAAGAGTCCAGAGACAGTGTGTTCCTGTTAGGGTGAAGGCAAGGCTGGTAGGTATAGGGAATGCTGAATGACTGGAGAAATCAAGGTTTTGATCAAAAATAAGAAGGAAATATATTTCAAGTATAGACAACAGAAGTCAGATGATTCCAGAGGGAAATCAGGAGGGTAAAAAGGGGACATGAGATAGCTTTATCAAATAGGATTAAGTTGAATCCAACACGATTCTATAAAACATTAAGGACAAAAGGGTAACTAGGGAGAGAATAGGGTCCCTTAAAGATCAGCAAGACCACCTAAGTGTGGAACCGCAGGAGTTGGGGGAGATACTAGTGTTTACTGTGAAGAAGGATATGGAAGATAGAGAACATGGGGAACTAAATGGCAACATCTTCAAAAATGTCCATACTGCAGAGGAGGAGGTTCTGGATGTCTTAAAATGCATAAAGGTGGATAAATCCCCGGGACCTGATCAGGTGTACCCTAGAACTCTGTGGGAAGCTAGGGAAGTCAATGTTGGGCACCTCGCTGAGATATTTGTATCATAGATAGTTACTGGTGAGGTGTTGGAAGACTGGAGGCTGACTAATGTGGTGCCACTACTTAAGAAAGGTGGTAAGGAAAAGCCGGGGAACTACAGACCAATAAGCCTGACATTGGTGGTGGGCAAGTTGTTGGAGGGAATCCGGAGGGATAGGATTTACATGAATTTGAAAAGGCAAGAACTGATTAGGGATAGTCAATATGGCTTTGTGTATGGGAAATTGTGTCTCATGAACTTGACTGAGTTTTTTCAAGAAGTAACAAAGAGGATTGGTGAGGGCAGAGCAATGGATGTGATCATATGGACTTCAGTAAGGCACTCGAAAAGGTTCAGGCTCCTCATGGATCCTGGTTAGCAAGGTCAGATCACACGGAATAGAGGGAGAACTAGGTATTTGGATACAGAA